AAAAAAAATCACTACTTTTTCAATGGTGACAGGTTTTCTGATTTTGTTCCCTTTCTCTGTCATCCACACACTTCCCACATGTGGTGTTTGCTTTTGGTGAGGAATGCTTAGGTAGAGCATATTCCTGTTCTGCCCTGCTCTGTAAAAGCTAGCCACTTGAAAGAGCTTTCCTGTCTCCCCAAAGAACTTCTAACAAAGCAGACCTCTGCATGAAATCAGTGAAGAGCATGAGACAAAGGTTGCAGTCCCACACCAATAACCTGGTAAGAAACTTGTCCCTACAGGTCCCAATGATGCAAGCTCTCACAGGAGAGTAGGAGGAATCTGTTTTCCAAGAGCACCACTCAAAGGAATAAAAAGCCACCACCCCAGCACTTCACATGCATCAAAACTGGCTAATATCTGTGATGACTTTAAACACAGACTTGCTAACACCAATCAGCACTTTCCTGTTCTCTTTCTTACACAAATTCCCTTTTCAAGACAACTAACCTTTCCTGCACCCCAGCCAGCTCTCCTTCCTCACTGCACACAGAGGTGGTTTTACCACCAGATGTGCTTGGTGAGGCAGACACCAGCCAGAACATGCCTTTTCCTGGCCACTGCTTGCCTCTGCCCAGGGAATTCCTTTCTGCCAGCAGGTTGTTTAGGTGGCTCCCTGGTCAGATGACGGATCAATCAATGAGGAGCTACCTGTGCACTAAATCACCTCTGAAAGTCCCTTCTAAACTGAATTATTCTATGATCAAGCAAGTTATCTTAGCCTTATATTGAGTAGCCTGCTGTCATGCATCTCCCTGTAGGCCTAATCAGGCCTAATCATTGTGGAAATACACAGCAGCTGGTACCTCCAGACTCAGTCAAGATAAGTTCATATTCAAGATACTTTTCATCTGACTTTGCTTGCTTTTTAGAACATGATTGGTAGAAACAGAGAAAAAAAGGAGGGGTTAATAGAATTACTAACCATTGAGTAAAAAAAAAAAAAAAAAAAAATGAGGGGTTAATAGAATTGCTAACCATTGAGTAAAAAAAAAAAGGTAACATTGAAAAAAAGTTATTGAACTAGAAATGGAACAGAGTAAACAGTTCTGAATTCAGAGCTATCCCCTGAACTCAAGGATGTCCATCTGCAGTGCCTCGCTAGAATGAGCCTGTAGTCTATGTATGTTCTGATGGGATATCATGGGGTGGAATGGGGTGTTCCAAAATACTAGGAGTGGTTTTGTAAATAAGGCATCTGCATCTACGTTATGATGGCAAATAGTATGCCTTCTACACAGTGGAGAAAAAAAAGAAAAAGTATCCAACAGTCACCTATCTCCTTCCAGTCAAGTTTTTGGGTTTTTTTGCTTCTGTTTTGTTTTGTTTTCCAACAAGACATAGCAAGAATAGGCAGCAGGTCTTTGTGGAATTTGTTGAGGAAAGCCAGCACATTTGAAGGAGACAGTCTTATGGTTGCAACTTAGACCTGGTCTCTGAAATCTGAAGCTGTGTTTTCTGTAGGCTCAGTTTTCCCATGGAATGTCTTGAATTTGAAATTCTTGACTGAATTGGGTGGTGTCTGCAGATCATATTAGTCACAGACGCATGTTCCCAAGGAATTACCATGTCAACATCTTGTATACAGTCCTTTGAAATGTATCTGCCTGAAGTCAGATTGAGTATCAACCATCACAGAAGAGTTTTCTTTGAAAGAAAAGTGAAATTAGGATCAAACAGACAAAAGAAGAGAGCACTAAAGCATTGCCTTCAATAGCAGTGAAATACCCAGAAAATAAGAGAAAATAATATTCTTAAGCACCAGATATGAGGTCATAAGTCATCCTTGAAGTGCTGTTTATGCAGGACAGAGATAGGAAGAAAGAGCTGCTAGTGTCCAAAGAAAAATGAATAAAGCACTTTAAAGGTTCATGGCACATCCTATACCTGTGCATTCAGTCCCTTTTCTAGTAGCTTGCAGAAATGGTCCCTCCAGCTGGAACTGGAAGCTGAACTGGTATTCTTCCCAAATACCCAAGCAGGGTGTGGCAGAGGGAAAGGAAGAAGGAAGGAGGTAAGGGAAGAAGAGGAAAATAATATATATATTTGAGTCAGTACTCTAACCCGGTCCTTTGGAAAAAAAAAAGTTCCTTTGGATGCCTTACCCTAAGGGTCAGAAGTTTATTGAAAAATAAGGCCATCCTGGAACTCCTGAGTATGCACTCATATGATAGTTCAGAAGTGCATCCAAGGACTTTCTATGATGGGCAGTTGCTGGAGGATGTGGTAAGACCAGCATGAGTGACCTGTTGAACTTAAGGCGCTTCAGAAAGCATTTCAAATTTTGTTTTGCTAGTAGAAGCAGACATTGTGGAAAATCTTTGTTCTGTGGAGTGACTTTTTTTTTTTTTGTGGTTTTGCTTTTCAGCCTGGTGATGCGATCTACCCAAAAGATGAAAATGGAAAATTTATCTACCATGAGACAGACTTATGTGCCACTTGGGAGGTAAGTGATCATAACATTCATTTATGCTTTAAAGACCCGGATCCTCCTCTCAGCTTTACTCGGGGCCTTCACAAACAGACCTGAGGCATGCTGATAGGCTAAATGGATCAAATTCTGCTAGCTCCATGGATAAATTTTGACTCCTGCCTAGAGGGATGTCGCTTCTTGCCATTGCTTAATTAATCTTAAAAAGAAAATAGAATATTAGAGACATCTGACATCCACATTCCTTCATTCATAGAGTGCATTTACTAGCTATCTGTAGCTTTGTTTCAGGCTCTTCTGCCTATCAGATCTTTGCAACAGGAGAAAGTTAGAGCTCTGAAGAAAGAAGGGAGTGGATCCTTCTCAGAAAGGAAAGTTCTCCACCTTCAAGAGAAAACTAAATTTGCACTAAAGCTCACCATTAAGATAAAACACAATATAAGATATCAAAACAAGTTCATTCACTTCTGATTTTAGTTACCAAATGAGGATGTAAAGCTTTTCTACTTACAAAACAAGCAGGGAAGTAACATTTTTGTGAAGGATTGCATCCTGAATTTGTTTGTGCTATGCTCGAATCCTGCTGATAGATGTCTCATTAAGCCTACTGCCAACTAGCCTCAGAATCTCAGGTAAAGCAGAAAGTGAGAGTAGTAGTCTCTTCACCTACCTGTCTTCTAAAGCCCTAGACTTTAAACCATGGCCAAAGGTGGTCATCTCTCCTTCTGCATCAGGTATGCTTCAAAAGTATCACTAATTCAGCATGATTTATGCTAAGAGCACCCCAAGGGCTCCCACATGCTCTATTTCAGCTTGCACTGTCCAGAGCTGGATAGTCATGTCCTGATTTAGCTGTGCTTGAGACTTAGTGAATACAAATGGAGATGCAGGAGGAAACTGAGTAGAGGTTCAGGCTGCAATGGAGCCCCTGGGGTGGGCTTGGTTTTCTCCTGGCAGCTGAGCCACCAGACAGAATTTCAAGGCAGACAGGGATAGCTAACTCTGTTATCTGTTTATGTCACCCTGTCTGGGGCTGATGCACTTCATTCCTCTGATTCACAAGCCAGTTGCTCTAATGTTAAAAGCAACAGCTGTCTGAACAGTATTATGTTTTTATCTTCAAACTTGTGCTTATTGTAAAGGATATATTGTTGTAGCAATTCTCTCTTCAGCTAATAAGCCAGAAGAAAAATAGCCGGCGATGACTGCTTGCAAATAATAGCTTCAGTCTAAATAAAGCTTGCTAAACTCAATCCAGATAATTTCACTGTTTCAGTACAGTGTTCACAAGCAAAAATGACTCCAGATGACTATATTTGCTGACTCGTCACTGTGTGATACAAAGCATATGAGGCCAACTGGAGGTCATCAAATATATGATGCCTCTTACCTCCCTGCTCTCAGTTCCTGTGAGATAGAAAGCACTAACAAAACTGTCAGAAGAGGCCTCCAGCTCCAGTGGAGGGGGCAGCAGTGGTGGGGTCTGCTTTGCCTCAAACAGCCACTGAATCATTTGTGTGCAGTCTCTGGGAGGACATGGGAAGGCTATAGCAAATGTTAATGACTCAGAAGATGAAGCTGATCAGGAAGCCTGAGGCATGTACTTATACCCTGTATTGATAAAGCTGCCTTAGCTACTAGGACATAATTGAAAAGCATAAAATCTAGAATTCCTCTCTTCCACCTTTTTCTTCTACTTTGTACTGTATATTTTTTTCATGCTGGTTTTGTAATGTACTCTACTAGACACTTAGGTGATTTAACTAGCTAGAAACTTCATATAGAGAAATATCATGCAGTCAAAAGGAATGAACTGAGTGACCGTGAAAGGAATCTGTTTTGTTCACTTTCCCTTCTTCAGCTTTGAAATAGTGCTAAAGCAGCATAAATTTAGCAAAAGTCTTCAAGCAAATATCTGACACTTAAATATCCATATCTCAAATGTATCTTTCCACATACTACTTTCATGGGAGGCACTTAAGTATCCATATCTCAAATGTATCTTTCATCTTTCCACATACTACTTTCATGGGAGTTATAAAACATGAGGGTTTAGTCTGGAAAATGGGTCAGTGGATACTGAGATGAGACCAGCAGCATGGCAGGAGCGCTCATGGTAATTTTGCTGATAGCTCTGCTATAGGAAGGGACCATCAAGAACCAGATTATGCTTCACGTATCTTTCAAACATATGCTGCAAGGAACCAAGTCAGTATTTGGGACTCCATCATTCTATGCTTTCTTTGCAGGCTATGGAAGCATGTAAAGATGCAGGCTTGGCAAAGTCCATTGGAGTATCTAATTTCAACCGCAGGCAGCTGGAGATGATCCTGAACAAGCCAGGACTTAAGCACAAACCTGTCAGCAACCAGGTATGACCACAAGCCAAGGTCAGTGGCTGCAATAGGGCCACTGCTGTATTGAAAATGCAAAGGCTACAGAAAGCCTAAGCTGCTGTGTGCCGAATGGTGACGTATGGTTTGCCACAGCTGCTGCACTCCATACTGTCACACTTCCATTTCTAACTTGAAAATATTACTCATGCTATTTAGGCTAAAGATAATATTTGAAGGTGCTGGAACAATCTCTCTCCTCAGTTCCTGCTCCAGGGCTATAAAAGTTGCACCTCTTTGCCAAGCTCCATAGCAAGCTTGGATGCTGAGTAAATGCAGGTTTTAAGCCTCTGCCATGTACCTTATTCCAAGTCCAAAACGTTCCCAAGACAAACGATTCAGGGCTAGCTAGTCATCAGTGAGGCCATGTCTACCTCAGCTGACACCAAACAAAAACAACCCTAAATATCAGAGAACCTGAGTCACTCTCAGTTTCCTGGGTTTAACAGCCATTAGAGGTAACTCCTGAAATTCCTGGACTTGCTCTCCTGTGCCCTTTCCTTAAGAAGTTCTGTGAGAATTGGAGAAAAACCTATTGACAAGGAGACCCCATTAAGACTTGGGCTGAATCTGTGAAGAGGGTAGGCATGTCTATGTTTTAAGGCAGTAGAGCTTAAAGAAGGAGGTAAGTGGCAAAGACCCATCTGAATGCTCAATACCATTGATTCTGGCATTTGGTAGTTCACTCTATTTGTAAAAGTCACTGAGAAATTTTTCTGACTCCTCTGACACAAATGAATATCCACGTTAGCAGTAGCAGAGGGGACACCAAAGGCCACCTAAGAAAAGGAGAGTTTTGCCACCCACAGTCTATGACCTGGAGGACTGGGACCTGTACCCAGCAGCACAGGGAGCTGACCATAGACTTCGCTGCTGTATTTTGCCTACAGAGAAGGGGCAGCCTGCAAGAGAAGGAAATTCTAACACCTCTGGCTAGTGTTAATGTGGGTACAAAATGCAATTGCTCTCTCTGGAGTGCCCCTAAGACTGTACCAAGCACTGCTGCAGCTTCCTGAAATCAAGGGAAACTGGGAAAAAGGTTAAGCCTAGCTTAGAACTTTGCACCAAGTAGCTGAAAGCAGTGTTTGCCCTGTCACCTTGTAGATATCCCTCTCCCAGAAACTGAGAACACAACCAGAAAATCCCTACCTACAAAGGAATGAACAATGCACAGTATTTGTAATAAATATGGGAGGATAATGCTCATAACAAGGTATTACTGAGATGTCTCACATTTCACACACTCCCCTTCAGAGTTCTGTCTGAGTCAGCTCATGTCAGCACTTCCCCTAAAAACAATCTCAGATTAGCCATCATGAATGCAAGAAGCAGAGAAAGACCCACATGAGATGGGGAGGCTTCTCAGACTCTAGTTAGCTTCTCCCACCTCACTTATTGCTACCTTTCCACCAGGGACCAATAAAAACTGTCTGAAAACAAATTACAACCACAGATGTTAAACTACTACCCACTAAAATCAAATCAAATCAAGTCCATCATCATCACCCAGTGCTGAATGATTAGGACAGTAATCATAGAGTGAGTTTACTTATTCCTGAATTTCCTGATATCCCTTCTTGCAACTTAAAAGTCATCTCTCGTCTGTAACTCTCACATACATTGGAACATCCACTTCTGTATCTGTCTTCTTCTGTTCTGTATCTAGTCCTACGAATTAATCATTCTTTCTGTATTCTCTTGTAGGTTGAATGCCATCCCTATTTCACCCAACCCAAACTCTTAGAATTTTGCAGACAACATGACATTGTTATTGTTGGGTACAGTCCACTGGGAACCTCAAGAGATGAAACATGGTAAGTCAACATATTTCTTTCTAGTAGTAGGGCTGCTTTACATGTAAAGAGTAATAGATCTCCAGAGTTGGATCTCTGCAGAGTGTCAAAATTATTTTGAGAATGTAGACTTGCAACACTGCTGCTGTATTCTATCGTCAAGAAGTCCTGCCAGGCAGCAGGAGTTCTGCTACCAAAAAGCAAGTGGCTATAACTGAGAATGCTGAGATTTGCATGAGGAAGTGCAATACAAGTCAACATGAGGACATCAGATAGGATGGAGGACTGTCAAAGTCGTTTTCTTAAATGTTCCAGAGCTTCTCTTTCATCTTCACACTACTTAGGCAAAGGTGCAGCATTACATCCAAGAATAGTAGATGATTGTATCTTTTAGCATAAAGATGGCAAGATAATTTCTTTTTATCATTTTGTTCCAGGGTAAACGTGTCCTCCCCTCCTTTGCTGAAGGACTCTGTGCTGAATGCCATTGGCAAAAAATACAACAAGACAGCAGCACAAATTGCTTTGCGTTTCAACATCCAGCGAGGGGTGGTGGTCATTCCAAAAAGCTTCAATCCACAGCGCATCAGAGAGAATTTCCAGGTAATTCCTTAGTCAGCTGGTGCATGGCTACTTATGTTGGCTTGGCTTCCATGGAAGGTCACTTCCAAATTTCTTTGTATAGACAAAAGACTTTATGACTGTCAAGCTTTGGCAAAATTGATCCTTTTTGTCCCTCTTTCTTAATGCTACTATGATGAAGCAATGACAATGCAAAGTAGAGAGGAAATTCTGATGACTCTAAAACCCTGCAAATGGCTAAAATTCCGGCTGATAGTATATACTGGAGCACCAGTTGTTCCACTGAGCAACACAAGTGAGATTTAACAGGTCCACAGTCTTGGGTTGCTGGCTGTAGGTGTTTCAGGAATGACAGATTTATGACAGATTTTTTCTGCCCCAAGTTCAGGTATGCTTCAGCCTTGTTGTTGAAGAGAAGACTGGAAACACTGGTGCACCAGAAAGGTTCATAATCATCAGGAAATGATAATTGACACCACCCAGTTGAAACATGTGCTCCTATGACTCTTGCAGTGCTCTGAACTGCATTGATTCCCACCCCACTTCTTCCAACAGAATATTGCATTTGAAGCCAGCAACCAGTAGTTACCAGACTGCCATTCTCTTCTTGGAAGAGAACATAGCCAATATGACTAGACTTACTCATGTCTTCAAGATATGCATATAAATGAAAGCAAACTCTTTTTTTTTTTAGTTTTTTTCCTGAACTCTAGAGATCTGGAACATATTAGTATTGATGTTTTTTGCAACAAGAAATGTTAACTTATTCCTAATATTTTCTTCCATTAGATCTTCGACTTCTCTCTCACTGAGAAAGAGATGAAAGAAATTGAAGCCCTGAACAAAAATGTCCGTTATGTGGAATTGTTGATGTAAGTCCAGGATAAACCCTATATACCTACTAAACACTCCTGTTTTCTCAGAAGCTCTCAAAAATCACTTGCTTTTAATATATTTTCTTTTTGTATAAATAGTCTTATTTTAAGATCTGACTTGAATGTCAAAGAAAATGTGAGAGCTCTTTAATGCAGTTTTCAATATGTACATGGACCACTTGCAAAAACAAATGCACAGTACTTTCTTATGGCTCAGATTTCAAAAGCCCACCTAGTAGAAGATGACTGCATCTGGGTGTCTCTTCTCTGTTCTATCTCCTTAAGCACTTTCCACTTTACACTGTAATGAGTATCCATCTAGGTGGCCCTGTTTAGCCACAGGCTGTCAAAACTGAACTTCAAACAGACTTACTTTCCTGTCTTTCCCCTCCTAGCACTCAGCAAGACATGTTGCACCACAAGTGCTGTTGCTTGTGGATTGCAACCTTAGTATTTCCATGGGCAACTTGTCCTAAATTACCAGGTGGAAAGCTAAGAACTAAATAACATTATCTGAATCCACAACAGTATCGGAAACCTCAGGGCTAGCTCAGGGAGATCTCTATTCCAACTCACTTACAAGGGTTTAGTCAGGAAAATGAAATTTGCCAACCTCACTTCCTTGTAAAACATGATACGTCTTACTGACCACAAGAGGTCAGAAACTTGGTTTCTACCTTTCATCTGAAGTTGACTTCTTCAGCAATCTGCCTCTTCTGCTGTCATGGTGAGTTGTATCTTCCTACATGAAAGACACAAAAACATGCAGGCTGTTTAACTACTAAATCACTTCCTAATTACCCCTGAGAACTAAAGAGGCTTGATCTCTTGCTGCTTGTTAGCTAGACCTTACTATCCAAAGCAATTTTGCTTCGCTTGTAAGATGGACTTCCCTAGGAAGGTAAGATTGACTCAAGGTTTGATATTCTGGAGAATGAGGCAATTTGTTTTTCCTTCAGCTCAAGACTGTCTACAGTTTGTGGCCAAACTCTATGCTTTCCCTTTTTCCAGGGCATAAATGTATAGCCAAATGCTAAAGGGATTGATTTCCCTTAATTTCTCCTGTAACCTTGGATTATCTGTTTCTTGCCAAACTCTAGTGTGCTCAAGCACTAATAATAATAAAAAGTAGGACAACAATTTCAACAGCACTCTAAAACATCAACTATTACTCAAAGGATGGGCAGTAATGTTACAAAGACACAAAAAAAAAAAAACCTTAGGGTACTACATAAATATGATTGGAAATACAAACTAGGTTAAGACACCATAATGCAGTTCATCTTTCACATTTAAGCTCAGCCAGGTGCTCTGAAGCTTTAGCTTCTTAAAATTTAAAATAGCTTTCCATCAATTATCAAAGCTTATTTCCAGAAAGCTTTTCACAAATTGCCTTGCAAATTCTTATGTGTATTTTGGTATTGGAAATTCTTTATTTTTTATTGCTAAGTTTTAAGCCATAATATCATTTAAACTTTGTTAGTGAGAATATATATGAAAAATAACCTTGGTACAAATACAAGAATCCTTTCCAGAAACAAAGTTAAAGGATGGAAATGCCCACAGGATGAGAACTCCTACACCACTCATCCAAAACTAATAAAAGGAAATGTTTTGCTGTATTAGAACAAACTTTATGATGGAAACCCACTGAGAATAAGAAAAATAGGACATATAGAATATATATCGGTTGCTGCATTTTTCACAGAAGTACCAGATTTGGGGAAAACAGTTAACTATAATCTGGCTTCAGCTGTGAATAATAGCTTCTTGGAAAAGTGAAGCTGCCATGTAAGGAATAGCTAAATCTGTATTTGCCAACCAGTGTGTTCTTACACTAAGTATCTGGAATGAACACTGCAACAGATGACTTGCCAGGGTAGAGAGCTTTCTTCTTTCATCCAGCAATAGGTATCTGGAAAGGTCAAACGATCATACAGCAAAACTTCTGATTAGTCAACTTTGTTGAAAACTCTCCATTGCTGTGATGCAATGGAGGTGGGAATGGAAAATGCATCTTTTCTATGGCTCTTCCAGCTATCAATGAACATAGGTACTGTGTGAAAATCTCTTGTTACAATAGTGTGGGTACTGGATTACCAGTAGTGTGAGTATATTCCATTCCTATGTGCCTTCCTATTGCATTAACTGAAATGTGTTAGAAAGCTAAATACCTGATCAGAAAATGGAGTTTTTGCAGAGATATGAATACTCCAGCAGATCATAGTCGGAAATGGTTTCTTTCTCCCTGGGGAAACAGGAAAACATATTATGTTTGGTGACTTTTGTATTAATCTGCTTGATTTATTCTCCATCTGGTGTATTCTCCATCTCTGCTATGGATGTTCTTCCTTCCTTGGACCAGTTATTTGAAGCCACATCATCTCCTTTGTGTGAATCCTTTTGCTACATAAGAGCAAGACCTGGGAACATTTAAGATAGATCTGATTAACAAGCTTTCTCTGTAGACGGAAAATAGAGATTAAGACATTGGCAAACCAGACATTGTCAAAGGAGGGGGAAAAAATATAAAACATTAAAAAACAAGCAAACAAAAAAAAAAGCAAAACCAAAACCCAAAGAGCTGTGTCTTGTTTTTTTGAAGTCAATCTGTTAATGTGTAAACAGTTCGGCTTGGCTGAGTATCAGAATGAAATGTTTTGACACAACCATTTTAAAATATTTGATGCCTTCCAGTTAGCTAACTTCAATATTGTGAAATATATCCTTCTCAGACTGGAACAAATACAGCTGGAACAATTGCTAGTATTTGATGTGCTTTACTGTAAGGCAAGGCAGCCAGCTGCCACAGTGCACCTGAGAGGATTCTCCAGAAACTTTTTTGCTGATGGAAAATGTTTGTCAAGCCAGTGCTTGTGCTTTAGCACCATCTTCTCAAAAAGCAACTCTTTCTCTCCCCAGTCTGTCAAGTCATGGACGAAGTCACTCTCTTCTTCACCTGCAATTGGCCCCAGAAATTTACCTGTTGACTAGTAAAATGTTCCTGCATCATGCATCTCAGAAGGCATTCTCTATGAAGTCCAAAAATTCCCACAAATTCCCATCTCTCCCCCAAAACAAGTGTCATCTAAGCTCACTGTAACTAGTCCTATTACCTAGGCAGAGCGCCTGTACCTAGGGGAGCTAGTAGGCTGGGACAGGGACATGTCTAGCCTGGATATGGCAGCCACATGGAGAAATGGCCATGGCAGACCAAGACTTTCTCATGCCAGTTCTAAGCATATAAGCCAAAGTTTCTTGTCAGATCTGCTATCTCCCTTATTTAGGGCCCTTATTTAGACTCCAGCTAAGAGGACTTTTTAGATATTTGAACAAGGAAGTATTCCTCTTCCACCACACATACATATATAGCAAAACCTTCCACCTTCTCTACAAAACTTCCACAAGTAGGGGTTAAACCCACAAATACAGTGAGAATAACTGACCTTCAAAATCTTTCTCTCTCCCTCTCTCCATCTGCCTTCTCTATCCCCCTCCTATCATCTGCCTTTAAAGAAAGACCTTTCCATAAGAAAGATTCATAAACCTGGTGAAAAAAATGGTCCTTCATTGTGCTCTCCTTAAGGCCTTCCATGAACAGTGGGTATTGCAGAGAAGAGAATTGCTAGAAGAGAAACAGAAGGCATTCGCATCAGTGACACAAACTCTTGCTTCTCCCGAGAAGCTCACTTGTTCAATCTGACCTCTCCACAGGTGGCGTGACCATCCGGAGTACCCCTTCAGCGACGAGTACTGAAAACAAAGTGCATCCAGGCAGGTTCCTAACTCGATGTCATCAGACTTCATTGAAACATACCCAATGTTTGGTGCTTCAATTTTACAGGAGACTGTAAAAATCAGCATTAAAAACATGAAGTTTGCCTCCTGTTCTGTTGTCAGTCCTTTATTGCTACTGAAAAGTAGCTCAATTTAAGCAATTGAGTCTAGGTTTTTTGGTTTAGAAGGCTTAAATTCTCTCTTGAGCATATACTAAAACTGAAGCTCTCTCTTGCAAACGGCTTCACTAGTTCACTAACCAAGTCATCTTTGTTCTATGAAGACAATTCTATGTGAGATATTCACTTGAATTTGAAACAAGAATTCACATTTCAGTAGATGTGACCGTAACTTTTTTCCTTGACAAGCTCAAATGAAAGAAAGTTAGGTATTGCATAGTGCTGACTTGCCACATTTTTTATACAACTTGGTGTAGTCAGCCTGGAGCTAGTACTAGTGTAGATACTTTTAGAGAGTCTCATCAAGATAAAAGCCACTTAACCATCTTTATTGCTCCACAAATGATGATTCACTGAAAAAAAAAAAAAAAAGTCCGTTCACTTTTTAGTTCTGTATGAATTCCTGACCAAGACATCACTGAATTAGGAAAGTAATTTTAAAGTCAGAGAAAGTTGCTTTTAATAACACTGTCTATCAAACAGAAATTACAGAATACTAGCAGTTCCCAGAAAGGGTAAGGAATGAGGCAGAAGGTGCCCTGCTGACCCCAGGCCACTCATTTGAAACTGCCATGGCTCTCTGAAAAGAGGAGACTAAAATGCAGACATCAGAATAGGGAAGGGTCTAACTCATTCTACATGGATTTCTTTTTCAGAGCTTTGGTTTGCTAAACAAGCTGCTTTCCAGCCAAAACTTGAATCCGTGGAAGGCTGTTTTCCTTTCCTGCAGTGCTCAAGCACTCGAGTTCCTCACATTGTTGGGAATAAAACCCTAAAGTGTTGAGGAAGAGACTAAGTCATACAGAGAGACATATTTTTGACCCACTTCTCCAATGGCAATACACAAGTTTAAGTACATGAAATAATCAGCAGTCTATAGCATCTGCTTATATTTATTATAATCATCCCTGAAGTGACTAGGTTAGGAAAAAGGGGAAGCTGCAACTCATGGAGTTACTTCTCTTGTAATGTGGTAGGTACTCCTAAGAGCTGAAGTAAAGAGGTACAGGGATAACATTTCACGGGAAGAGCAGTCAGGACTTTCGAATGGGTCTAGTGATAACCCAGACTTGGATGAGGCTAGACAGGCTCCTAAGAAATCCAGGCTATTCAGGGAAAATGGTCTTTGCATAGCATTTATAAATCCTCAGCAGTGTCAATGAATGAATGCTCTGCTTGTTGGAAGTTATCCAATGGTTAACCAAGTTTACCCCATTTTGTTCAGTCACCCATAGAAACCAGAAAAAGGAAAGGGGGTGCTGAGGAGGAGGAGGCATTAGAGGCCTGCCAGGTATAGACCAACATACCTTCCCCAAGGTCAGGTGGATCTCGGCTCCCATGGGACTGCAGAACTGCTATCACAGCCCTCCTGCCTTGGAGCGTCTGAAGGTCTGGCCAAGAACTTAGAATAGCCAACTCTGAATTGAAGTGTCAGAGAAGAGCACAGCTACTGACATACCCAGCATGCTTTTCCTGTTGCTTCTTTGCTTTAAAGTTTTAAATAGAGCTATAGGGACTTCGTTACTTAACAGTGGCACTGTGCAAGTTTTTATAACTTGACCAGGTCTGTGTCTCTGGCTGCAGTCAAGGCCTCCAGCCAGCTTTGACAAAGCTCTTGTATTCTAAGCTGAGCAACTAATACTCATCTTAAACGCTCACACCAAACTCTTCCCAGCTATCTACTGCTTTCAAACATCCTCCACAAAGTAGGCAGGATGTAAGGGTCTAATAAGTCAACACCCTTTCATGTGACCTTGTAAATGTGAGTGAAGAAGATGATAGATCAAAGCCTCTCTAAGAGGAAATACCCCATAGTCAAGTCTTCAATGTATAGAGTTAACATGCAGGATGGATTGTGAGAGTTCCTCTCGTCCCAGTCCTGCTAGCAAATCTTTTTATTTATTTATTTATTTTTATTTTAATAGAATCCTCCTCCTCCTCTGTCTTGCCTCATTTGAATCTGATGAAAAGGATTCAGCCTTTTCCCGGGGCAAATGCTTCCATGCTCATTTTCATCTGTTATGAAACTGCTACTGACGTCTAGCCTAGATTTTTCACCGCTTTGCTCAGTTTCAGACCGTTGCTCCCCATTGTTCTCCATCTTGCTCTACAAATAAAAGATTCAGAGGAGGGAAAACAAATGGCCCTGCAGATGGGCCTTCAGAAAGGCATTCCACAAGCCTCTGCACAAAGAGACAGAAAAACCCCAACCCCAGCTCCCCATACACTCCACTCGCATCTAGCAAATTTGAGAGTCCCATTTAATGCTCTGCCTAATGTGAAACACATCTCCTGGGAACACTGCATGCAGCCCTGCTCCAGCTGGATGGGTCAGGCATGGGCAAAGAGGGCTCAAGAGGAGAACAAATTTGCAGTGGGAGAACTCTAAATAACCTGAGGAGTCCAGACTCTTCCTATAGCTGCAAAGTGAAGTGAAATCCAGACCGAAGAAGCTTGCTTTGATATTGTTGAAGTAACTTCATGCATGTGGAAGGACAACTGAGGCAGCATTTCAGATTCTTTTTCAACCCAAGAGCTGCTCTGGCCTGGCCAGAGGAAAACCAGGTGATATTCTCCTGTCCACGGCAGCAGTAAATCAGTCGCCACAAGTCTGTTTGAGAGCATGGGCTTGTCAGAGGAGGAAGCATTCCCAGCTAGGAACAGAACGCAAGCTTTGTGACGGACAGTTGAGCCCTTTCTTGGGCATATTTATTCATGTTCAATAGATGAAAAAAGAAAGGAACAGTCCAACAGTTATCATGTAACACACTGATATTACTCCTCTGTGAGATACAGTAAGTTGAATTTGTTTCCCCATGGAACTAAGGACTAAGTACCTGGGTGTGATCCCATTGCAAAATGGATGCACATCCCGACCTTTCTGAGTCCTGTGGGTGCCCACAAGGTGAACAGGGTAAACAGTAAGGAGGCGGAACGGGATGGGCCCTGCATGTGTTTTACAGCCTTTAATCCAAAGGGCATTCTTTAATATATGTTACACATTTTTATGCCACAAAGCTATTGAAATAGTTTACAAGGGTCAGAAACATGTGGGAAGATGTGGGATTTTTTGCACATTACAGTATTTGTGGGTCTTGTAAAGATATTCAACAGCACCAAGACTGCTATTATCTCTAGTTAAAATCACCCTGTAAGCAGAATCAAATGTATTTTTCAGTTAATCTTCAGTTTATTGCATGAAACACTTAAAAAAGTGTGGAGACAAAGCCAGTGTTTGTAGACTCACAGAGAAGAGAAAGCAGATGCTAGGGAAATGCTAAACCTCTCTCATGTCTGCATAAGCAGACAGAAGACACATTTAAATCCCTCATATCTTGTTCAATAAGACCAACTTCTGGATTTAAGATAAGCCACCACTTTCCTCATTGTGAATGGCACCTCTCACTGCCTGTTGCCATCCACTGAACTGAAATGCTTTTTAATGCTTTTAAATAAATTGATTTGGCATTTGCAAGACCCCTTTCTGAAGAAGGGATGGAGCTGCTGTTTTTGCACATATTTTGTCCAGTTCTCAACAACATGTATTTCATAAGACTCCTGTAGAAAAGCATTCAGAGAAAGAAGAAAGTCTGTAAAAGAGTGACATGTTAGAATGAGATTCAACAGGCTCATTTCACTTGTGGCCTAAACTACAAACAGATTTGCCTTTGGAGGCAGAGTATCAGCACACAGTTGGGTACTAAGTGCAGTTTTTATACAAATTGATTCTTAGCAGTGCCATATTTCAGATCTTCCCAACATCCTACTACCCTGGAGCAAAAGCCCTAGCTTATAATAAAGGGTTTTGAGAGTGCAAAAACAAAAAAGTTCATTTTAATTTTTCAATGCCAGACAGACTCCTCAGGGAACCTTAACTCAATATGCATGAGCAATACTCACAACAGGGCAACACATTGCAAATAAAATGCAAAGTAGAAACAAATGGGGGGAAAAAAAGGAGAGAAGAAGGGGAAAAGGGGTAGAAGAAAAAACATACACGAGTGGGTAAACATTTACACAGAGAGAAGCACTATGCAAAGCTGCTTGGTTTTGCTCCTCAGACACCAAAGCTACCTAGTTGGAGGCATCAGATCCGTCCAAGTTCATCAGATGTAGCAAAGTCAAAATTCTGCTCTGAAATTTTCTAGGCAAGTGAAATGAGAGCTCAGGTCAACCTTGAATGTATCTCCAAGTAGCCTCACACATAAACTGGAAAGGTGGAAAAGGCTGTGCAAATCACGTTGCTCATGACACAGGATAGGCTCCTAGTATCATACATTCAAGCACATATGAATGAGGAGCAACAGCTGACTCAAGACTTATGCCAATATAGCAGCATGAGACAGAGGCATGAGGCAGCAGCATGAGACACTTACTACCAGGAACATCATCCAAAATTGTCTCTTCCACCCCAATTAACCTGGGTAATATCATTCCTCCAGGTTGGGAGAGAAAATGAGTAAAGCTCATGCATTTTTGTCTTTGAATGTTTTCTCTGGAAAACCTCTCCATTCCTTGTGCCGCCTTGCCTTAGCTTCCAGCTATGGAGTGTAAGCATGTTGTGAGAAAGGTTTGCCAGTATGGTGTTCTCTGCTAGCGCAGGTGCTCCAAATTTGTGCCTCCTATGTAGTCCAGAATAGTCCAAATTAGTTGTTTGGCAGTATCCCTTGCACTGCTTCTCTCTGCTTATCTACAATAGTAGGACTGGCATCCTGCATCTCCTTTTCTAGTGTAAGAAGGAGATTCCCTTTACTTTATCAGTGCACTGCCTGCACTTGAGGACTTTCTGCAAGGTACCTCCAACATTTGGAAAAGTACTTCTTATTTGCAGTTAAGAAATCCATATCTACATACGACAAGGTAATACCTTCCAGGACCCTAGTGAAGTATAGCCCTCCCAATATAGAGGGAAAAAAACACCAAA